GTGCCATACTGGAACTGAGTTTCGGTACCCAGTCTGTCATTGTAGCTGGGATAATTTTACTTATTAAAGCTCATAATCTTACCACTTGAAACATCACTAGCCCTGAAGCTGCTGGTAGACATCGCGGTTGGAATTATCAAAGGTTTTTGACACCTGAGAGACACCGTAGCAACTCCTTTGTATTTGGAAGTGGGGGGTGGGGGTGAGGGGAGGACCAGGGAGGATGATTCAACCACTCAACTACTAGATGTCGCTGAAAACAACAAATCCTACACACTGTGCCTTTAAGAAAATAGCTTTTTGCAGTTTAATGTTAAATTGTCCAAATTTAGGGGTTACCATCCAGCTAATCCTCCTTCCTGCTGCTCCTCAGATTAAAGAAAAAGTTCAAAAATTCTGTTGATTCAAAGTTTCTGTTCAACAATTCAAAAAGACAATAAATAAAAGTAGTTCAGTCTAAATCGTGGCCCATTTTCAGAGAACAGGATACAAGATCTCACAATGTTTCAGTACAAAGACAATATTCTATTAATACCACAAAAACAACATCCCCCCCCAAAAAAAAAATCAAAGCCTGTCTTGTTCCTAGCATTTCAAAAGAGAACATCCTGTCGTGTACAGTTAAGTATTTGGGAATTATTAGGACAAACAGTGTTAAACAATGAAATCCAAATAATACAAAGCGCCCAACAACCGGCATAATAAACAGTSGGTTCTCAGAAGACCGATGTGAAACTGGTACATGATGGAAACGCTCCCGCTCCTCGCCACTCCCTCCAACGGCACACCAGGACCTGAGATCTGAGGGTGTCCGGGTTAAACTAATAAACATTTGTGAACAAACTGTAGTGCCCAGCTGGCTATGTTCTCCACCACACCAGTGTTCACCCAGGACAAAAAAATAAATAAAAAAATTGAGGGTAACTGAGGTTAAAGTGGGACAAACAGCCGTAATTTCACCAAAGTCTCTAATTTATGGACAAAAATGCAAATGTGATGGTCTCATTAAAGCCGCCTCGGTCACGTCAGCTCATTGCTAATCTTTTCCTTGTGGTTTTCACTCTGCACACGCACACTTAAGACTCGTGTAAAACCTGCGGATATTTTAATTTCCTGGTATTTCAAATGACAAAGACTTCACCAGGAAGTTCATATGATAATGTTCCCTCTGTTTACAGCAGCGGGGTGTTTGTTTTACAGTCTAGTCTTGGCTGAGATGAACTGAAAGGTTCTTTATGTCCTGGAGGGCCAAAGGCGCTCCGGTTATAACAGGCTTCAGGAGGAATTTAGCTTTGCTGCGAGTACCACRTACTGTTAAGAGGATTATTCTAACAAGTAGCAAACCTGCTAACCTCCTTTTAGTTTGTCGATGCTCCTTGTTCCGTCTTTAACAGCACATGGGTTTGTTTTGACTGCAACTGCTCACAACAACGCTGCTTACTGAACCTCTAACATATGTTCTAGCATAGCCACTGTAAAACATGTACATGCTGCATTTGTGAGTATATATTCTTGCAATGCTTAATCTTGACAAAGAGGGCATTAAAAATCTCTTTCTAACGGCAACATAAGAAATACTGTCATCCGGAAGTTGTTAACACCACTATAATCATTACAGTAATACAAGAAAGGCCAACAAGACACACCTGGACAGCACAGGTATGGCTGCAGAATAGTTCAAGACGTTTCCCAGGAGTCTGAAGTCACGCGTAGCCCCTTTTTTTTAAAAACAAGAACACGCACTTTTAATTACAAAAAGCCCCACAGAGCTAAGCGAGGGCTTTGTGCGCCTTTGTTCGCGTGTTTGAGAAAAGACCCACCACTGCGACTGAACTGACAGACCTTTAGGTCACCTGGTGGGAAAGCACAACGCCTGCCAAAAAAAAGCTGCTCTCCCYGTGAAATGGAATGTGACAAAGTGAACCTGTTCACTTTCCCATGACCGACGCCAGCAGTCCTTACACTAACAGACTGGAGAACAGCAGCGTAAGCCCACGCAGGGTTAAAGAGGATAACTGGCCTGTTTGGCACGTAGTGGCCATGTCTCAAACCGCCAAGGTGTGGCCCGCTAAGCTGCAGCGCAGGAAGATTGACAAAATTGTTCTCTAACGTAGCACGCACACAGAAAACACACATATTATTGTGTTTTTATTAACACAGTTCACATTTATCAAACTAAACAGTGGCATTGAACTGCATCTTCAATTTTTTAAAACTGAATTTAGAGAATATTGCAAAAGATTAGTGTAACCACAACTGTAGTCAACAAAGCATGTATTGTTTTAACATGTAAAAAATCAGATAAGGAAAGCTAGATCACCACTCAGTTTAACTAAACCTCCCTTTTGCATTTTATGTAAAGGTTGAATAGATGTGTGTGTTCAATCTGATGCAAAACTGTGAGGAAAATATACTACATCGTAAATGTGGCATTTCTTCTTCTCTTTAATGTAAGGGTAAGAGGCTTTCAGGTGTGGCTTTTCTTTCCTGTGCTAACCTACACACACAGARGGTAAACAAAAAAAGAAGAATCTACTAAACCACAGTCACTACTTTACAGAGGCGCGGCTGATGCAACACAAGCGATGGCAACACCCTACAGGCAGGAAGCATGGCTGTAAACCAAAAGGATGTCTGACATTAATGACAAACCCTGACTGATAGATCGAGGTTATTACAAATTAATCTACACGTTTAAAACATGTTTACTTACTGTCTGAGAGGAAGTCCCGCTCACCTGAAACAGCAACGCGCCACGTACGTGCTCAGCTGCGTCGTGTTTGYCCTATCACGTTGATAACTGACGCAACATGACAGCATATGTTGATTTTCACTCTGTGCAAGATTTGGTTTTGGTTGTTCAATTAAAACAATAAAAGTAAATGGTGCTTCTATAATACTTGAGCTTGCTCGGTTAAAATATCTGTTTTTTCCGACGCTGCTAGAGGGTCTCTGAAAGCAACATCTCCGCACATTCCTTGCTCTCAGTGCGTGGTTAGCTCTGGATGCTAACCGGCTAAGACCAAAACAATGAATGAAAACCTCAAGCGTAAACACAAAGTGTCTTAACAGCGCGTTTAAAACATATAAGCCGGTTTAAATGAGTTTTCCATTATGGTCACCTCATATTGAGTTTCTAGTTTCTGCTCTTGTTCTCGGGTTTTCCATTACGCGCCCGACTAAACTCTATCAGCTGATTCCCCGCTCAAATAACAAATTAACTAAGCTGATTTAGGACACTGTAACTAACAGTTCATAAACTCGACGCGACTCGTGAAGCAGCATGGCCTTTTGTTGGAAAATAAAAGCATGAATGAACGGATAAACGTGAAGAACGGCATGTTCTTTTCGAACATTCCGCCAAGACTATTTTACAACCGATCCACGAGGTGGATTGCATCAGTCTGCTTAAGATCGTTAAAACTCGGGAGGAAAAGAAAATACACGAAAACACAACTTAAGAGTTTTTTAAAAAACCGTGTTTGAACGCATCACATTTTTACCTTTTGTGCCTTCTTCTCGTTTATGGGTGTAGAAAGACGAAATGAGTGCGACCGATGACTTGCTGATGAAATAGCCCCACCAGGATGAGCCCGTGCGCTGCTTTTCATCCAGCGCGAGGAAGGGGGCGGGATGTATGTAAACAAAATGACGCAATGGAGGCGGAGCTTTACGCTCTTGAATGGAAATACAAAAACACGAATAAAGACTGCAGACGGTGGGATAATCGACACAGATAAGTTTTCAAATAAATAAAACCAAGCCAATATCACTTTACAAGTTAATGAAAGCCAGATAAAACGGTGAAGACGTTCACCGTGCGTGCGTGAGCACGTGGTTTCCTCTTGTAGTAGCAACRTCCATATAAGGAAATCGGGCGTCTTCCGGCTTCTCCCGCTGCTTTTTGTYCCCCAGATTCAAAGGAAAGGGGAGCGGGTTTCAAACTTTCCTAAGAGTACACATGTACTCAGTGACCTTGAACCTGAAGGATGAGGGTCAAAAGTGACATAAGATGTGATTTTTTTTCAGTATTTTATGATTATTACTTGTTGATCACTCAAAATATCTCCATTTGAATGTGTTTTAGGACATTGCAAATAAAACATATCAGCAAGTCTTCAACTAAACAAGTCAAGGGGATCACAACCAACAGCTCAGGAAGCAGGCATCTCGCAATTAATAYCATTACATAAAGTTGATTTTAATTTACAATCTAGTTTKATTTTAAATAAACTCATTGRTGTATCTGATCAAGCTCCTCAGCACTCTTTATTGGTAATGCTTAATGCCTTTCATGTCAAAGTTATATTGAGAAATGACAATTGTGCATTATTATATAATGCTTTATAATTCAAAAATATAATTTCCTTATATGTCCATATTCAAWGCCTAATAACATGCACAATCTGATGCAATGTTGCATGATGACATGCTTACCATAAGTCTGGCWCTGGGCGATATAGTCATTGTTCTCGATGGTGAACAGAGGTAACTTATATTAAATGAGCGTGTAAATTTTATAAACTTTATCTGTCTCCAAACTCTCCCTCCCCGTTCATTGGTACTATAGTTACCATTCGCCTCACCTTTTGTTCGTGCCCAGTCGCACTGCTTCCAGTTGCTCTTTCAATTTACTTCCACTTTATCAAGCTGACCCAACCGGGTGTCTCAGCAAACACAGCGAGCGTCACGGACGCACACTGGGCTCCACGGTTAAACCGGCAAACAAAACACAACTTAATCTCTGCTCTGGCCCTCTGCGCCCATCCTGTCTGCTCACTTTCATTACTCGGGACAAGGCCAAGACATCAAAGCTAAATAGTTTTATAGGTCACTGTCTTCACACATTCCTTTTTTTTTCCCATATATCTATCCATCCATCTCTTATCTTCCATTTGTTCTGAAGTCAGGCTTTCGGCAGCTTGAGCAGAAAAGCCCAAACATTTACCTCTTCCAGCTCTTCTGGGAGGATCTCTTGAACGCCCTGACCATTTTAATCTATGAATAGCTAAAAAAAAAAAAAGGCACAAAAAATTGCAAAAAAAAAAAAAAATCACTAAGTTCCATTTCTGATCTGCATCACAAGATCACTGTTCTTAGACAGGTTTAATCCACAGTGACCAGGTTTTTAATCCCTGCGTTTCCTGAAGCCCAGCGGCAGCAACAAGCAGATCAGAGGCCTCGAAGAGTTCAGGCGAAGTAAAGTTTAAAGCTGAGCAATACTTCCTGTCTAACTTCACAACTGATTCTATTAGTAACCTTTAATCTAGTAATTTCCAATTAAAATTACACAGCTGTCAGCATCTTTTAAGGAAATGATGTAATTTCTCTGGTAACTGTCGAATTGCTAGGCTAATTTCCTTGTCACCTTTGATTTGCTTATCCAGAACTTTTGTTTATAAAAGCAACTCATCAGTAATTTGCTGGATACAACAGTATTCTTCTTTACTCGTAGCTATTGGTTTCCTGGAGAGGAAAAATGCAGAAAAAGCAAGAAAATGTGTATCTATTTCTTTATGTTATGCATATACTGTATATGGGGCACCTGGGGGTGCCAGAAGCTCAAAACAAGTGTCAATAACAGAATAAGATGTTTGGCAGAGAAGATTTGACAAATTTTTCATGTGCGCAACACACAAATTTATACTGCTCATCCTGCAAATGCATGTTCCTTACAAATGTGGCACCATTTAAAAGGGAAAAGGCTTTCAAACACTATAAGATTTTATTGCCAGGAAGCATTGTTACAGCAAAGAAATAATCAACCTAACACAAATTTCCTTACTTTTTGTGCTAAGTTTACATATGAATAGTACTACAACAGTACTAGTTTTACATCTAAATAATTAAAGAACTATTTGCAAAAGTCATAAAA